CTCAGGATGACACACTTGCTGAAAAACCAATATTAAATGGAAGAAAAAGATTCTATTAAGGGATTTTAACATTTTGACACCTGCGTGTAATGAAATCTTGTTTCTTTGATGATAAAATAGACACCAAATGATTTTAATTGAAATTGATGTCTGGTAATTGAATTCGAGTTGGGACTCTACAATGGTTTATTGGTTTCTATTTTTCAAATGTTTTTGGAATCGCTTCTGTTCTCAATCTAATTCTGTATATGTTCTGGTCTTTTTAAGGTGAGTTTCGTTCTGCTCATCCTCGGGGAAGACATGATGAATTAGAACTTGGAGTATGTATCTAACATTGTGTATAAATTTATATCATATCAGAGTTGTTCTGTACTTTCTTTTTCTGAAATTAGCTCACCTTCAAGTTTTATGCTGCATCATTTCTCTATATCACTTGATGTGACACTTGAAGGTGATGCTGGTTTGTTTAGACTGCTGAATTATTTGCATTTGTGATTGCTGTTTTGATGAGATAGTGATTTAGTAGGTTCTTGATGGATTGCTGGATGAAGTTGACGAAGTGGAGGATATAGATGCAATAAATGGCCTTGCAAGCCCTTGCGATGATTATCTTCTAGGTGAAATTTTGTTAAAATTATCTTGTCATAATGACATTTATGGCATGCTTTCTCTTTACTTTTGTGTTCTAATGATTCATTTCTTTCCTGAGTGCAGATATTGGATTTATAGGACAAGCTTCTCAACTGGGTTTTGGTCCTTGTGAAGGATCACGTTTAAGGAACTCAAGTTCTGCAAGTCAGTCACCAGGATTAAGTGGTAGTAGTAACAGTGCTGTTGGGATATCTGAATCATCAACTGTGACTATTCAGGAATTTGAATGCAAGAATAGTTCTATTGACAAGGCAGTAACTCATGGGTCCCATGGTAACTTCAGGCAGAAGAAAAGACATCGAACACCAGTTGCCCATCCTGCTTCGATCAATTTACAAAATCTTGACGAGTTAGATAACGATGAAAAACCTTCAGTAAGTGGAATAGTGTCTGCTGCTTTTCTTCAGGAGAAAAGACTACGTAAGCCTACTCGAAGATACATTGAGGAATTTTTGGTCAAGAAGTCAAAAGATTCCAAGGGGAGGGAAGATTGTTCTGCTGTTACTGCTACAGAGAATGGACGATTGAAGGACAGATCTCAGAATAAACATCATCATCAGAGGCCTAGGACATTGGCATCAGTTCCTGAGGATGATTTAATTTCTGAAAACCAGACACTGGCTGAATTCAGGAAGCAAAGAACACGTCGAAAGAAATATGCATCAATTTCGGTAGGAAAATCTTCAGCCTTGCACATCTTTGCTACATTTAATTTGAAATTTCTAGATGAAAATTCCTCCCACTTCTTCGTCCTCTGTCTCTCTAGTTGTATGGTTCTTTCTCTCCCAAGTTTGCTTGAATTTGCCTTATCAGTTATCAGCAATTTCATCAAAGTGAAATTTAAGTATGACAGGTGGTCCATTAGGGTTTGTTGTCTCTGGATCACGTAATTAAAAAAATGTGAGATTATTTGTGACCATTTGCAGATTGCTATGTATTTTTCATGTGGAACCAAACTAAGGTCTACTATTCCTTTGTGCCTGTCAAATAGAATTGCGTTGGATGTGAGTCGCCTATTGATTTTTGCATCTGCAGATTGCTCTGGTTGTTGCTTTCCACTGAAGGCTCAGCTGTTGTGATGTTCATCGACTTGAAAGAAAGAAAAAACATAGAAATCAGAGTGAATTTATTTCTTCTCTATTTGAACAACTAGGATTGTCTGTAGTACTGTGATTTTTTTTGGGATCATGTAATGCCACAGTTTCAGAAGTTCAATTGTCGTCATTATTCTGCACAGATGCTTGAGTCAGATGAATCTGATGAGTCATACGAGTCCGATGAGCAACCTATAACATCCGAATCTGAAGATGACTCTGTGTCAAGAAAAAGATCAACAAAGCAAGATCGAAGGAAGCATCAAAGGATGTGGACTCCCTCTGAGGTGACGACATTGGTTGATGGTATTTCTCAATACGGAGTTGGACGATGGACAGATATAAAAAGGCTCCTATTTGCATCTTCTCCTTATCGCACGCCACTAGATCTCAGGGTACATCACAGCTTTCCAATAATGGGAATAATATGCTCTCTATTTGCACAGAAAATGGAGAGGGCCAGCTACCCAAGGCGCAGGGCCCCCTGAATTTGGGCAGGCTCTTTACAGTCCAATTTCTACTGGCTTTCTCCATTTTGTGTTCTACAGGAGAGGAGTTAGGTTTCGGTTAAACAGTTGTCTTTGCGTTTTAACTTCTAACATCAATGCTTTTGCACGCTGCAGGACAAATGGAGAAATATTTTAAGAAGGAGCTGTGGAAAGGAACTGAAGAACGAGGCTAGATTTCTATCTGTTTATACTTTAACATTTTAGGATGCAGAACCTGTCATGTAACCTAAACTTGTCTAGGTGTCGTTTGGCTACCACAGGTTGAGCAAAAGGAGATGCGTGCTTTACCGAAGTCATTGGTGCCCCGTGTTCGTGAGCTGGCCACAGTCCATCCGTATCCCAGGCAGCGCGGCAAAAAGTTTGCTCCTCCCATACTTCCAATTGCCAGTAAAAGTGCATCATCCGACCATATCAGAAGGTATGTACGACGGAAGTAGAAGAAGCGTTTTTGAAGTTAAATATCACTGGTGCAGTAAATCAGTAGCCAGGAATGTACCGAAGTTTAGTTGTAAAGAGTTTGTTATAACATCAAGACAATTGATCCTCCAACAAATGATTACAGAATTCAGGCTCTCTGCAACGGTTGGGCCAAATTTTCTTTTGTAAGCGAGAGTTTTGTATTCGATGTTTTCACATTCCCGTTTACTTTCCTAGAAATTTACTTCGGGTAATATGAAAAACATGGCTCCATGCTGTGCCAGAAAATTATGATGTCTGCATTTTGTGGGTTTGATCAGGTCTTAGGTTTTATCTGCTCTAAATTTGTACTACTTTTCGCTTCTTCATAACAAGTCGATAGTAAATGCTTGCGGGTAGTTTTCAATACTCGGCAAGTGAAAGTTGAAAAACCATGAAAATGTCGGCAGAATGCTGCAAAAAAACTACGGGCAGGAGCTTGCCTAAATCTTTTAAAATCTACGGTAGGAACTACCGAAATTCTGAGTAATGGTTCGGCAAGGAGCGAGCTATTGAAACTTTTCTGACGAGATTTAGGATTTTTGCCAATTTCTTGAGGATTAGTGCAACATAAATTTAACCATGAAAATTTTGGGCGTGCTAATCAGATATGTTATGGGACAAGAACTAAGTCATGATAAGATGAAAAACTAAAATCCGACTACGGTAGAGAAGCATAAACGATACCGCACTAGAAGTACAACACAATAGCCGGAGTTTTGTGATTGGATATGGCTAGGGTTTATTAGGTATGTTATCCTCATCATCAACCATACGTTTATCAAGAGAGATCATTCATAACGCACTATATGTATGCTGATGTTGTTGAAATTACTAAAACACTAAAAAATATAAAGTCTACCTCATGTGAAGTTTCTGGAATATCGATTTGATGTTCCATTCGTCAAAATAATTTTTCTGAATCAATGTGTTTGTAGTTTTATTGATTAGGGTTTTGTTCTACAATGGAGGGTGGGAGTGGTTTTGAGAGTTGAAGAAGATAAATAATCTTGGAATATACAAGTTAAAAGTGATTTGAAGTGTATTTAGATTGTTTTTTTTTTTGTAAACCTTCTGAGGTCCAGATTGTCATTATGTATTGGGGTATAAGTCATTTAATATTAAATATGAATTATTTTATAAGAAAAGACAAATAAATTATAAGAAATGTCTACGAGTACAACTAGTCTGCATACAATCAAATAAAAGAGCTCTATAGATTTAATATGGGTAAATCTCACATATTATTAAGGGTAAATCTCAGACTACACATGAAGGTTATTAGATTTAATAGTTCTATCCTTAATGATGGTTATTAGATTTAATTGTTCTATCCTTAATGACACATGGTGCCTAGTAATTGTCCACATCTGCGCCGCATCATCAGTTAATGGAAGACTTAACAGCCAGATTAACATATATGTATGAGACTGTCCCAAAATTAACACTTTAAGTATGACTCTAGGACGAAAAAAACTTCATGTACTAAATGTTGAAAACCACGAAATTTGAGAGTAGTAAATTGAGATTTACTCTTAATAATATGTGAGGTACTAATAAAATGAGCCTACAAAAATTTGAATTTGTGGACGTTATTGCTAGTCTCAACATAAAGATGAGAGATCGAATATGAAGGATAACGGGTCACGGATGACCCAGTCTAGTCATTCTTATTTTCAGTTAAAAAAGAAGAGAAATGATGAAGTTATGAAGGAGAAATCATACAGATTGGTGTATAAAGTAAGATTTAAAAAATAATTTTGAGTTATGAGGACATCTCCAAGCAACGAACAGAGGGAGGAGTTACAACCATATACCATAATATAGGTTGTGTATTGCTGGCAATGGCATTTGAATGAGAGGTAGAGAGTAAATTACAAACAATCGGAACTGAAAAAATAACAACAATCTTGTACTATATAACATATACCTAACCAGCACAAGAATCTTCAAATTAAAAACAAAAGAAATTAATCACCATGACATTGCCTAATCTGCGAGCTCTTTTGGGTTCCTTGGCTGTCTTTCTTTTTGTGCTAGCTGACCATCTCATGTGGTTGCCGCCAACCGCGGCCGGTTTGGAGTTCACCACCCCATAAAGCACCATAAGCCAAGGTTCACTGCTGGCCCTTGGAAGCAAGCTCATGCCACATTCTACGAAGGCGGCTCGGGAACGTTTGGCGGAGCTTGTGGTTACCACGACGTGGTTCAAGAAGGCTATGGCCTCGAGACAGTGGCTTTGAGCAATGCTTTGTTCAACAATGGGCTGTCATGTGGTGCATGCTATGAAATGAAGTGTGTGGATGAGCCCCAATGGTGCAAGCCAGGGAACCCTATTCTCACTGTTACTGCAACCAACAATTGCCCACCAAATTGGAATCAGGCTAGTGACAATGGAGGATGGTGCAATCCGCCACGCGAGCATTTCGATATAGCGAAGCCTGTGTTCCTCAACATTGCTGAGTACAAGGCGGGCATTATTCCTGTCGCGTACCGCAGGTGATTACATGCACATGCATGCATTGAATAGATAGAATGTTTGAATACTAATATTGTGAGACTAGCAATCTAAACCACACAATACAAACATATGAATTTAGATAGACCATATTGAAAAGCCTGATAACATAACATATAAGTATATTAATCACACGACAAGAGAATATTTCCCGTTGTAAGAAAGATTTTAATGATTGCTAGAAATTGTTTTGTAGGGTTCCATGCCAGAAGAAAGGGGGCATGCGATTCACAATAACCGGGAACCCTTATTTCAATGAAGTGTTGGTATGGAATGTGGGAGGAGCTGGGGACATCATCAGCGTGCAGGTGAAGGGCTCCGACAAGCTCAAATGGACAGCAATGAGTCAGATGTGGGGTCAGCGGTGGGTTACCGGTGCCAAGATGGTCGGTGAGTCACTGACCTTCCGAGTTGAAGCAAGTGATAAACGACACTCAACTTCATGGCATGTTGCGCCCAAGACTTGGCAGTTTGGCCAGACTTTTGAAGGCAAGAACTTCCGATAGATCAAAAGCACATCATCAGCTTCAATGCTTCGTGCATGTTGAAATCCTCCACACCATATTATTTGAACTAGTTTGGCTTGTCATTACCAATGTATACAAACTAACCATGGAATTCTTGCCCGACCATGTAATAATAAAAACAAGGCACTCATATACACCTTACCACTTTTTCGTAAATTTCCTTCTTCAATATTTTTCTTGAGTGGCACTACACTCACCCGCCTCTCATATTTCTTCACCCACCTTATATTCATTTGTTATGAACATTTTCGCTAATAGGTGGGTTGACTGTAAAATAAGACATGTGGTTGGAATTACATCACTCTTTATTTTTTTTTTTTTATGGTTAGACGTATCATTGTTGGATCAATTGAAGATGATTATTTCTCAATATGCTTTTCTCTCATGCCTTTCTTCGTTCATGTTTCAATATTCTAGTGTCCTAGGGGCGTAGAGGAATACCACACCAATCCCTGATTCCTTACAATTGTTCCTTGTGATGCAACAAAACAATGGCATTTAGGACGTCAAGACGCGGATGTGTGTGAGGTAAGTGTGAAAATCATCACCCTATTTTTAATCACCACCATAAACCCTCGAGATTTATTGGATTCTCATCTAACAAAAGAACCCATTTTTTTAACAAAAAAACCCAGTTTTTGTACAAAAACAAAAACAAAAAAACCATTTTTTGCACCCAAAAAAAAAAAAAAAAAAAAGAACCATTAATCAGTGGATCCATAAAGAATGCTCATTCCAACGGTCATCTACCCTTCAATCTCAAAATACTGAAATTCTCATTTTATCAGATCAACAAATATAATTCCGAAATCATTTCCAGGGTTCTAAACCCTCTTAAATTTCACAAACGTATATTCTTAATTAGTGGGTCAGTCACCCCTTAATTTCTTAAACGTTGAAACTATGTCGTGTTTGATTTCCTAAAAAGCATGTAGGCGATCTAAACATTCAATCTAGGTGTCACCGCAAACACATAATTCAAATTTGAATCGTTGGTTCTTCAACCAAATTCAACCAAATACAAATTCATTCTTAAGTTCACATAAATAGATTGTGCCTCATTTCATTCAAAATTATCCAAAACTTGGAATGTGTCGGTTGACAATCTAGATCCAACCGTAAACACATAATTAAAATTCCAATCCACGATTTATTCAACCAAATTTACTCAAACACTTTTCCAAACAATCTCTCTTCATTTTTTTTCTCACTTGTTAATATCATTGAACTATGAGTGGCTTGATTTTAGAAAGGATATGTAGATCCCTTTCATTCTCATTTCTTGTAAGTAAACGTATTATGAGTTTTGTATTTCTTTATCCATTATTATGACATGAAACATTATAACATGGGAGCTCACAGAAAAAAAAAACTTGAACATGACCTATGTTTTGTTATATTGGAGAGAATCAAACACAGGATATTAGACTTTAAAACTGTAAAACTCGATTTCTTTCGGTCTACACAATCCCAAGTCTTTCCGTGCCTCCGTATTTCTACAGAAATATATACCATGTCTGGAGGCTACAATAGACTAACTAAACCCACCTTCAACTTATAACAAATTGATCACACCAAGGATCATACATTACTATTCACGTTAGATATTACCGTCTTACTTGTGACACCCTCGGTTGTTTTAGCGTGTGTTGAGTTCCACATCAATAAAGTACTAACTCGACAGTGTACTAGCGTGTGTTGAATCCCACACCGGTTAAGTACTAGGTCGATATCACCAATTGTCACCCTCACCATCTCCACCATTTGGATCATTGTAATACTGCCTAGGTATGTTATGGTGGTTGGCCAAGCTGCTTCCGGGGTACTTAGCACTGTTCTTCTGCATGGCTTTTCCGCCTTCAACAGGGTGCTGCTGCGGCTGCTCTTGTCCATACGTTCCTTCCAACATAGCCCTCCTTGGCGCTGCCAAGCAAGAGCTGGCCATCATCACGACAAATAAAAGTGCCACCACCCTCATATTTTATAAGGTAATTAACAGCTAGAGCAGTGGATTTTGATCATAAACTGAGAAATAATCTTGTGGGTTGATGAGTGACTAGCTAGCAAAGAAGTTTGCTCATTATATAGAGGAAGGGGAAAAAGAGATTATGGGGATCTCCACTAAATTTGGGACAAGATTTAATGGAATTTCATATTATTCAACTTCATATATTTTTAAATGTATCCATCTGTTAGTGACGGTTGAGAATTGAGGCAATTTTTCTCTCCACATTAGCCTCCCTTCCCACCTTTACAAGTGGAATTATAGCATTCACCAACACAAACTAACTCAATCCAGCTAAAAAAAGCTTTGTTGTTTTATTGTAACGTTTCGAGTTAATAATATAAGGTTATGTAATATAATTTTAATAGTGACATGAGATACCATTTTATGTTGGAAAACTTTCAAAACAAAAGTAGAATTTTGAAAAATAACATGGAAAGCCCAGTTGGCGGAGGAGATTGGCATCCAGTCGACGCAAGACGAGCTCTTTGACCTATTAATCGACCGGGCGAAGGGGTCAAAGGATGGGTCAGCACTATTACGAAATTCAAAACTCTGTTGGAGATAAACTCTAGAAAATAGTTTCTAGACATTATTGAGTATCATTGTCTATCTCTTCTTGTATTTGGTTAACTTTGGTAATGCATAACATTATTGAACAACATATTAAAATTGGGCTTCATGGTGGAGACCATTTCTTGTTTTGGTCTATTACTTCAATTTCTGTTTTGAAAATAGATAATTTTATGTATTTGATTCCATTAATAAATCTATTTTAGATCAAGTTTCAAGAAATAGTGAATGGTCGGGTTCATGCTTTTTCTTTTACTTATCAATGAATAGATTTCTTTACTTGTATGACTCAAACGCCATGGCGTTCGGTATTCGAACTTTGGTTCGAGGCATTTTCTCTACCCATTTTTACCCTTACTTTCTTTTGAAGGATACCTTACGTATAATACATGTTTTCGATATTGTATCCATAAGAATTATTTATTTGCATATCCTATTGCAAACTAGTTGTGAGGACAAATAAAGCTTAATAAAAAAGCGTTTTTGCGCACCTTAAAGCATTCTTTCTTTCTTCGTCTCTTGTTTGAAACCTTTCTTTCATCTTTTAGCCAACTTATTTTGTTCTTCCAAAGCGTAAATTACACAAATATCCAACATTGTGACGCTTTTGCAAGTCATCCTCTAAATTGTTGTGGCTTATTTTCTCTTAGGGATGAGACAAAAAAAAGAGAGAGAGGATTGAGGAAGGAGTGTGTATTTTCCTTCGTATGTGCCTTTATTTATATTAAACTATGAGGAGAGAAAATTTTACTCTTTAATAATACAAAACTTAGTAAGAAAGAATCACTAGAAAGTTGCCAACTATGTTTATTTATTTATTTATTTTATTGTTCTGTCTTATTGCTGTAAAGGAAAATCATATCAATTTAGGCTCTTGATTTGATCTCCACTTGGTGAAAGTAGAATAATAAAATATGGAAATCATTACCACTGAGAATTTTGAGTATTAAAAACTTCAACTGGCCGTGGCAGGTAATTTTAGGGTGTTTTACATTAGCCCATAGATCAAGTAGGGTTTGGAAAATAAATCAATGATATTTTTCTTTTTTCTTCTGTACGGTTTGAAACTTTTGTTTGCTTTTGTAAGATATTAATCCTAATCCCACTACCAAAGTACGCACTTTCATCAGTGTCAAAATCCAACCATAAATATCTTTCTACAGATCTATTTGGAAGATATTAACAACTTAAACTTAACCAGTCCCAGTTGGGCACACAACAAAGAAAAGGACTAAAAGAACCACCATGGTTGGTTCTAATAGTTAAAACATGTCCAACTTTCAAGTGATTTTGATTGCACAGATGGGCCACTGATTGTGAACTGCGGCCAAATTAATATCCATGCAAATACTAACCCATTGGTTTTCAAAACTAGGTTCAAATATGTTGTGATTCATACCGATAACATACCAATCAAATCTCAACGATGTAGTAATTAAAGATTAAAGATAAATCAGATATCAAAAGCATTTTAAGAATATGCTCATTAAAGAGATTTGGACAATGATTGTTATGAATGATTTCCCCAAAACAAAGGCAGAAAAAACATTTACATTATGTTTAGATAAGGGAAATAAACTTGCAATTTTGACAAACTTCAGAATTTATAAATTGACATGACCAATTCTCTTATTTGGATTCATAAACATAGAAATTTAGAATCCGTAGGGGAAAAAATTTGAAATTTGGGACCTCTAATCCTAAGTTTAAATTCCATGTAAATAGGTATTATTTCCAAATTTCTATGAGTGAGTTTTAAAAATAACAAATTTCGCATTAAAATTTCATTGTTCTTTTAGGTTAACCAAACAAGAAAATTTATAAATTTTAGAAAATAAAATTCTGTCATTTTAAAATTCCTTAGTAATATTAAATTTTCTCATTCAAGCAGAGTGTTAAGCATTACAGAACGTTATTTTATTGGACTCTCTGATAATCTAAGAAGCTTATTTAAAAAAAAAACTGTGAATTTAATTCACGCATATCTATATATTAGTTTAATTCTTCCATAAATGTGTAATCCAGATTTGTAGTCCAACAAAAATAAGTTTGAGAAGATATTACTGGTGGACATGCATATATATGCTAATACGTCGACTTACATTCCTACAAGGCTACAACCTGAGATAAGGTGCTACTGCCGTTAGTAGAGAAATCACAGGTTGTGTGGATATATGATTTCAATAATGGAGCCATATTTTTTAAACTTATGTGTGTTACTGTCACATCCATTAAATTTACTTATCTGATGTGCATGTGTTCTTCTTGTCAGGTCATCACGTTCTCCTTAGCCATATATGAACGGGTAGAGGTATTATGTACAGTGGGGGACACCACATACAATACTTGTGAGTGCAACACTTCATGCTTAGAGATACTGTGGGTTTTGATTGGTAATAACTAAATTGATACACTGATTTCTTTTTCTTTTCTACCTTTCGGAAAACGATAATAATTATGCAAACCTCACATGGATTGATACTTGTATTTGAAATTTGATTCATATGAGATCTATATATATATATATATATATATATATATATGTATATGTATATATGGTTTTTCATACTTGTATTGAAATTATTGTATTTGGGACTCGTCGTAACGATAGCTAGGGTTTCATAAATACTTAACATCGTTGTATTTCAAGATGATTAGAACAGTTCCATGTGAGTTGGTGACTCTCAACTGTTGATACATGTGAAATTGAGAAATTCAATATATGGACGCCTAGAATCACCCAATCAAACATAAGCGACAGTAAATAAGTGTAGTATGTACATATTTAAATATAACCCAAACATCTATTCAAGAATCAAACCTAAGGTAACTTCATCCATGGTTAATTCACTAGCTGGCTAGTGTAACCATTTATGCATTTGGAGCCAATCTTTACGACGTAGAATATAACGAATAGAAATGTACCTAGGGCTTTTATATGTATGAAATGAATACAGTGAAATTTAGCAAAGCGTAGATCTACTACCATGTTTAGTCTTGTAGCAGTCTTTTGTCACTGTCGATTCTAGCTTCAACGGGGAGAGAAAAAGGGTACAAATATAACGTCAAGTCACAGGGTAGATTGAGACATATTTTGATTAATTACCTCCCCCATTGGAGCGAAAAACTCTTTACATCCCCATTTGTCTATCCGGCACAATAAGGGAGCTAATTAATTAAAACTCTCTAAATTTAGCTTCTCATTGAAGACGCTCTTACGTTTGAAGTTCGAACAACATTAAGTGAACATGGAGCGATCGTCCAACACTGCCAGAACCACTTAAACCTAACGCTGAAATGAGCTAGCACTATCTCAGTCACTATAAATGAGACGTTTTGAATATATATGTTTGGTCACTACCAGTTCAACAGTATTCATAATTCATTAAGGGTGACTTTGTTTACCCAGCAATGATATTCCAGTACAAAGAAATATGCTCAAGTCAATTAATTAAATTTGTAAAGAGTACAGCTTCTCCACTTGTAGGAATGGGTGTCAATTTCATGCATGCATGTATTGTGTTTCTTAAGTATCATTCGCTCTTTTATATGTTAACCTTTTTCTTCTTGCCGCTATAAGGACTTGCATGGGTGTTTCGAGCGTGTATTGAGTTGTCGTCCGCTCATATTATAGTATGCAGATCAGCAGCGTCAGTTAGAAGTGTCACTCAAAAATCCAATAAAAATACGTGGGTAAAATGAAGGGAAAAAAAGGAGGAGGAAACAGCAGAATTGCTTCCGAAGAGGAAGCATGGGAAGGAATTAATGGGAAGTTATGGGAGAAGGTTGAAGGTGGAACTTGGAAAATGAAGTGCCAGGGGTGACAGCTAAGAAGAGCTGGCGAATACACGCGCATGGGGGAGCTGAGCCTCAGTGAGAGAGAGAGAGAGAGAGAGAGAGAGAGAGAGACCAACTAAATCATTGCTATTCAAAACATATGGCATGTCGGCTGCAATGCATAAAAGTTATATGATGTTTTGGAGTATAGAATATTATTAATTTTTTAACTATTAAATTTTAATTTTTGTATTTTTAAACAGTTTCCAATGGTTAAAACACTTGAAATATCTCAAATACTTTGAGACACCTCGCAATGGTAATGCATATGATATGAGTTGAGTTCCTTCTGACCGATCGGAAATCTCTCTCGATCGATCGACCTGTTCTCAGCCCTCACCCACCCGTGAGAAGCATAGGGTTTAGGCCATCTTCTGCCCAACCTCATGTGCACTACATACATCCTTTTGCTAAGCTCCCCCATCATATCAGCTTTCTCCATGACCGTATAAGATCCCACCATCTTCATGCATGCATACATGCTTCAATTTCTATATATATACATGATATGATATGATGCATCATTATGTGATGTTTGTTTTCATTTTTCAATACAAGAAGTTTGTCCTTGATCTTTAAACTTTAGTCCAACAAAGTGAAAGTTATTCTGCCAGTTGATGGTTATTGGCCATCTTCTTCTTTTTTTATTTTTTTTTTTTTTTTGTTTTCTTACAAAGAAACATAGAAATAAGGTCAATCTTGTACTAGCTTACATCTTAACCCAAAACGATTTTCTATCCAATTTCATGTCAAATGTTTTTTGTTTATTTATCCACGAGAAAAAAGCTGGTACAATTTGTACTTCATAGGCTCGGCCCCTAGTTAGTCCTATTTAGTGAGTAAGGATCCTTGCCGGATCCTCTTTGTGAGGATCCGAAGCTTCTCAAATCACATCTGTTCATCGTACATCGTACGATAAAAAATTATTGTAAATTTTTTTATTAAAAATTGAATATAAACAGTACCTGAAGAAAATTGACCACCCAATGTATGATAAACGGACGTGATTGGAGAATCTCCGGGATCCTCTCTCATATTTAGTTAGCTTAGCAAATAATAAAAGATGGTTTTAATATTTAAATCATCCCATAGAGAGAGAGAGAGAGAGAGAGAGAGAGAGAGAGTTACATGCAAAGGGTGACTTCGCAACCTTTGTGTTTTGAATCAATAATATATTAAAGATACACACATGTCATTCTATTATTGATCTGAGATCCTGACACTGAAAAAGAAGTATGCATCATTGAACAAGGAGTAATTAGTAGATGGTTTATCTTAACTTGCTTTAACTAATTTAAGCTTCTAAAGATAGTTTCAAAGTCTTGGACAAATGGAAGTTGATTTATTATTTCTTCTTTTCGTTATATGAAAAGAAAAGGAAAGTACATCGACCAAAAAAAGAAAGAAAAGGAAATTAAAAGTTATAGCTGGATATGAAGAGATATGAAAATTTGGAATGACATTTGACAGGTGGAATAGTCAAGGATATTAACTCCTCTTTCACTCTTTCTCCATCAATGATCTGCATAAGTGTTGGCAGTTTGTGTCAAAATGATTTGTACAAAAGAGGTACTCTTTCTAACAAACCAACCTAGCACAGCAAAGTTTTGTCTCTGGGATGATGAATCAGTGCGCTGGCACTCACTCATCTCTCAGCAAATCAACTTCGAAGTTCAGACATTTGAACCCACTCCAAATCACCACCACAGAATCCACCATGCACAAAGCTTCACCATTTCACAATTGCTTGCAATTTTCAAGCTATATTTAATGAAGGATTGATTCAAAGTGGTCTACCCTAAGCTGCTTGTATAGTTGTCTGTACTCCACAATAGGTCGAGCCGTAGAGGATAATCAGATATATGGATAACTAGAAAGTGTCTGGCTAATCTCTAAACTTGTTAGAACACATAAAATGGCTAAGATAACAAATGTTTGTGTTGTCGAACGAATGATAGATAATGGTTGCTACAGTACGATAACGTAATAGAGAAACTGAATGACATACCCTAAGCTAGTATCCACTAACAATCTGAAATCTACTAGAAATCGAGATAAGTTTACCCTAACAACCTAAGGGTTACTTATAGTTCTTCTTAGCCCTAAACTTTATAGTAGAACAAATAGAAAACAAATTAAACAAATAATGAAAAACCAAAAAGTCCTAAAATCTTATAGTCCCTGTAGGGATAGTAAATTATGAAGGAATCGAAAAAAAAAATCCCCATACCTCAGCACCCGAGTCTTCTTCACCTCGCACCCGGCGTCTTCTATTCAAAATGGTGGGTCATGGGTCTTGTTGCTAACTTTTACGCCTTTTCAATTGTTCTTCGATCATTTCAGTCATTTGTTTTACATCAATAATCTTTGCCAAATTAATATTGTTAGACAAGATAAAGGGCTTATGTGGTCAGAAATATGGACGTTATATTTTGACAAAGATTCAGTGCAATAATTTATATTCATAGTATGATAACTTATTTTGTAAAATTAAGTTAAATCGCATTTTTATATATTAATTATTGATCATCTATTCATGATTTCTAAAGAGAGAAACCTTAAAATTGATCTTTTGGTTGGTGAGCAAATGGAGAATGTTGAAAGAATCGAGAACAAGACTTTTTTTCTACATACAAGACTGAAAATGTGACTCCCATCTTATGCTCTGCAAACACAGCAGGATACATCCATCCATCCTCTTCGATACTCTCTTACTCATAACCCATCTCTTCTGCTTAATGCTTATAAGGCCAGACTACACTCCAGAGATTCGTAAAAACTTATCCAAATCTAAACTGCAGGCTAAGGGTTTTAAGACTGCAGAGCAACGATGTTGTACGGATAGTACATGCATGCATGCATGCTACACAATTATATATAGCGATAACTTAATTTAAGTGTTCAGTTTTAAAAAGCAGCAAAATGCTGCCGATGACATTATCGATCAAATCTTAGTGACCAGTGGAGAAGAAGAATATATTTAAAAAAGGAAAAAATAAAATAGAAAGACAAAAAGTAGATCATGCCCTAGCTCATATTACACCCAATGTGATTCCAGCCAAACATGTGCCGGCCAACTTTTCAATATCAAATAACTTAATTTGTATTTAGCTGACTTATTATCCTCAAATCACACACTAATCAAGCAAAGTTAGAGATAAAATAGTTTCTTGTGTTACAGCTAAAAGAATGCTTCTTTTACTAAAATACACAAATGGCACATGATCTACTGAAAATTTTATTAAATTTTAGAGTACCTTGTATTCCGGAGTTTTTATCATTAAATTTTAATTACTATAACTTCGATTAAAATTTTAACAATTTAAACTCCAAAATATAAAGAAACTCGAGTACTCCAAAACACCATAAAAATTACCACATCTAATCCATTGTTTATGAAGAATTACAAATGAAACATCATGGTGCAGATGGGTTTTTAGTTTCGGCAGATTTATATATTAAATTTAGAAAAATAATAATATATTTTTAATTGGAGAACAAGTAAGTGGGATCGCCACTTTGTCCAAGAAGCTTATCCCAACCTACTTTCATATCTTATCTTTAACTCTCACAATTTGTGGGGTCTTGACTTTGAGAACTCCAAAAAATCACTCTCAAGCACCATGCTTTCTTGTGAAGAACAGAAGGGGAAAATGTCTGCTGCCAAATGTGCCATGTTTTATAGATTATAATCTTTGAGTTGATATGCATGTTCGTACAATTTCGTATCAAGGTGCATGACTATAAAGTAGTGTAGGGTACAGCACGGTACAGCAAAGCATATACCGTTACATTTATATGATCACACTAGCTACTTAATTCACATATTGTCAATAATGTATCGATAATATGTCAATAAAATTTGTTGATTATCAGTAATCTGTAATACTTATAGATGACTTCGTAATTATTGATATAATATATATTATTGTGATCTATTACCAGTACTCCAAAATAGTTATTTTATATCTTTTTCTTCTTTTTTATGTGCAATAAAAATAATTGAAGAATGATCTTTTAGAATGTAAATAACAAATCCAGTTGATTATAGCAAATATGAAAATTTGAAAGAAAAAAAAACATCTCTTGATAAGTTGCCCCATGATATTGATCACAATTATGGCATCTCAGCTTTCCTCATATCTAACCTATCATTTCAACCCTTTAATGCTCCAAAATAGTGCTTCCTCTCCCACACCTATATATACCTGTCATCTTTGTACTAACACTACCACCTCTCTCTCTCTCTCTCTCTCTCTTATTGTTTGTGTGGGTATAAATAGCTAAAAATAAAATAAAATAAAAAAAGAATGATGAAGGGGAAGTTTGTAAGGGTGTGTGCTAACAAGTGGAGGAAGATAGGGAGTAAAGAAAGCATACCTTCTTCCTCATGCTGTGAAATCTGCTGCCAATGGGCTCTCTGGCCTTCCATGCAAGAAGAAAACTCAATCCCCAAAGATGTCCCAAAGGGTCACTTAGTAATCTATGTTGGTCAAAACCACAAGAGGTTTGTGATCAAAATCACCGTGCTTAACCACCCTCTGTTCAAGGCATTGCTCGATCAAGCTCGAGAAGAATACGATTACAATGCTGATTCGAAGCTCTACATCCCGTGCAACGAGAGCCTCTTCCTCGACGTTGTTCGCTGCGCTAGCTCGCCAGATGACCATCGAAGGATTCCTCTGTGTCTTTGAGAATTCAAGTGAATGTATTAACAGAGAACACTGTGGTATTTAATTGATTCATGATAAATCGGGAGAGAGATATAGCCTTATTTTATATCTGTAGAATTCCAAGTGATTAATATTATCCTAATTTGTAGAGTTCTTCTTCCTCTTGCTGTTTTTATAGGCTTGGAATTTGATGTGTGTGAAACATAACTGGAGTGGTCCAGACTCCAAACTATGTATATCAGCACCAAAATTGGAAGCAGAGTACTGGACCACTGCTCAAAATTTATGAGCTAAACTCCCACTTCGACTTCCATTAATATGACAATTCCATGGGAAAATAGTAATCAACACTCCAAATTAGTCATCTCTTAGGCTTCACGAAGGAGCATTGACAAAGTGTTTTAGACCCCCTCCTGCCTCTATAGTTCATTGTTTCACTAGTTATTCCTCTGGCTAGCAGTTTGGGATCTACAGATCTAGTGAGACCATACAGTCATTGTTTTGTATTTAGGGCTGCAGAATTCTCCAAACTCTGACAAAAAATTTAATAAAAATAAATTATAATTCCCAAAATCCTGGCTTCCAAGTTTCCCAACCAAGGTCTTGTTGCCAGCAAGTGGCCCCTTACCATAGCGGTCAAAAGGATTTGTACCCTTGCATGATGGCATGGGTTTGAACTCCGTCGGCTCTCTAATCTAACAAATCTATTGTTTGACCCAAAAAAAAAAATAAAAAAAAAAGCGAAATTAAGGTCTTATAACCATGAAATTCCAAAAAGGAATGCTGCCAAGTAGGAAATGCACAAATAAGCTAAGGACAATTTAAATTTTCAAAGCACCGCAATGATCAGATTGCATTCGAACTTTTCGACATCTTAGAAAAGACTGTCCAACAAACCGATTCGAAATCTTGCTTCTCCTAAGGAAGCTGCAATAGTTAGTACCTTGAAATTTCAGAGACCTCATAAAACGATTAGACTTGCCCTCTTCAACGCCAGTGTCTTTTTCTACAAAAAACAGGCATTAGAATCCTCGAATTATATTCCGACTGAAAAAGAAGAAAAGAAACTTCAAGTTATACGATCATAAACTATTTTCACCTACATTTCGAGCACCAGACCTCTCAACTGTTTAACTCAACTCATTGCTGTTTTTGAGCGACTTAAACTGCATGCCGAATTCGTATAGCCTTGACATATGCAGCTTGAAATAACAAACGAGCACATTCAAGATAGGAAAAATAAGCCTGCAGTGATTTAAAGGATCTAACACCAAAGTCAGGGGTCCTAATCCTATATAAATTACAGTCTTTCTTGTAAATAATGCATATATATATATATACACACACACATATATATGTATATATATGGCAATATTATCAATGACTCTACACACAAAGCTTTCAGAATGTCATTTTCCACAGCATCCACCATCCCTAAGAAAGTCGCAAGGAAAGCAGGGGAACTCTAATATCTACATATACATGGTGATCTCCAATTGTGGCCGGTCAAGTTTATTCCAGCATGAATTCTCCATCCTTAACAAGACCAGAAATGAATCCTTGCATCTTATCAAAATTTTCACTGCTTATATACTTCTCAGAGTAAAAATACATTAAACCAACAATTGGCATGTCCGACACAAACCCTATTCAATCAGTATAAACCATATCAAAAGTACATAGTATTCAGAGTCTACCGCTGAAAAAGGTCCTCGATAACTTATACGCATTTCAGTATGATTGTTGTAGCAAACTAACCCTAGACTCGTCTACCTGCACAGCATACCTCAAGAATACCCAAAGATATACACTCCCAAAGGTCATCTACCTTTCTCATCACATTTGTATTACAGCAAGAGAAACATTAATACATCCATATATGGTGGTCCATAAAAGTAAATTAAGGCGCATTCAGATATCCTGTGCAATGTGTATAACAAAAATGAAAAAAATGGTATCTTTAAAAAGAATTTCTTCCAAAATAAGGCGAAAGAAAGATCAATCTACAACAATCTAAGTCACTCTCACAATGACGACTCTGATTTCTTTCATTATCAACATACAATGCAGAGAATTAAAACAATGATTGCAACGTCATTTACACATGAAGTATTCTTGTGCAAGGCAATACACAGATTGTATACTGCCTTGAGGTAAAGTACATACAACAACATCTGTCTGGCAAACTACACCAAACAATGGCAGTGCGGAATATCAGGGAATCCAAAGCAGGAACAAAGAGCACTGAAAGATTACCAGTAATGTAGTGTTACAATCGAAGTCTGCAAGAAAAACTGCCAGCCAATTACTGCTAAGTATCATCTAAGGCCCTCAATCTAGGGCTCCAATCCTCTCCCCCTGAGAACTAGCATCTCTACTCCTCGCCCTCGCTGCAAAGTAAAATATGAGCCAAGCAACCATAAAGTAAACTTCCACAGTCGACTGAAAGAGCTTGGCAAACGATCTTCCACAAATCGAGTTAAAGCCCATCTTACAGATTCCCCACACAATACAGATTCTAAACACTTAATTTGGATAGCTTGGCTCAACATTGACAACATTAAATGACAGCCTTCCTTGACAATCTCTTTCCCACTCTTCCTTGAATCCACTATGGCAACCCATGCATCGACAGAAAATACGAATGCCACCAATGTATCCAGCAAGTACCACATAAACAAAAACCCAGTAATCTCCTTCTCATAACCTCGAATCCAGGGAGGCATAACCGAAAAAGGCATCAACTTTAACCTGATAAATAGCTTGAAAAAAGAGTACTGGTCCTCAATTTCGCCGAAATACCACAATCCCAGAAGCTGAGTGAGAGCATCTCTCACCGCCCACCTCATGAGAATGAACCCAGAGAGCCTCTTGATGCCCAATCTGGACCCATCCCAAACCAGACCAATAAACGAAGTAAACCGCCCGATCAGATCATTCAGAACTGTGGTAAAAACAATGCCAAGAACCCATGAATACGTTACAAGAAACCCTAGAATTACCCAACCGTAAGCTGCAGATAAGAAACTCACAAGGAAGAACAACGTCGCCACGTCCTGGCGACCTAGCTCCAATCCCTTGATGAAGAATTGCAAATCGACAGCCCGATCGTCCATTTCGTCATCGCCCCCTTTCTCTTCTCGGTCATTGCTATCTCCGTCGCTATCTCTGTCTCTAGCACTATCATCGGATAAGGTGAATTTCTCGGCCTTGAACGTGAGGCTGGAGCGCATGATCTCAGAAACCCTAGTCCCGTAAGTTCCATTAAACCCTAATTTGGAGGTGGAGTGAGAGGAGGAGGAGAAAATGAGGATGGGGGCGATCCGATTGGAGCCGAAGAGGGATCGGGCGTCGTCGTCATCACCGGAGAAGAAATCCTCGTCTAAGGTTCCGACCCGGGTGAGGTGGAGAACTGGGCGGTGTCGGCGGCGGAGAGTGATCGGAGAAGGGGACTCGGCCTGAGATCGGGGAGACCGGTGGTTGGGATTTCCGGCTCCAGCGAGATCGAGGCGGGAGAGGAGGGATTTGAGAGACGGGTCGCGGTCGACGAAGGTTGTGAGGAGGTGGGTCCCATTTTCGACGACCGTACGGAAGGAGAAGATGAGGAGGGAGAGGAAGACGAAGGTGAAGAGGTTGCCGGCGAACGACGTCGTGGCTTGTCGGAGGAGCTGAGAGGTGCTGCGGAGGTGGTTCAACCGTGGATGCTGATCGCTCATCGCGGGTTTTTTTTCCAGTATTTCTCGGCGTTTTTATTTTTTGTTTTTGTTGTTCGTTGTCGCGGCGGTGACTCGGTGAGCAAAGAGAGCGGGGCGATTGGTGTGTTTTACAACACTGATGCAAACGCGTCCTGATGTAGGTGGCGTTACACGCGCTACAAAATGGAAAATTTTATTTTAATCCTTGGAATTAAAATCTATTGATGTAAAAATTAAAATTGACTGTAAAAGATTTTTTGTTGTAACAATATCTCCTAATTTTTTGGACGACGATTATTGGGTTTAGTTGGTAAACTTTTGATGGAGTTGTATTGCCATTTGGAATTGGGAGAGAGAAACATAGAATTTTGTGCTTTCCTTTCTAGTTGCAGATTTAAATCTTTGGACTTGATGGAGAGAATTTCCATTAAGTTTCTGAAACACGGCAGCCATGGTTCCCAGGTCAGCTAGAAAATCGACTACAATTTTGGGAACAAGATTGAAAGGCCGAGCTTTTGGATTCATCGGGCGTGAGTGAGGAAGAGAGAAAAAAAAAAAAAAAATTGAATATCTGAAGTTTTCAGTTATGTTAGTTTTGTTCAAGTACTTGATGCTAAAAAAACTGTAATGAAAACTCAAAAAACAACTCGGACGTCGTCTAAGTTCAAATTCATGGTAGCCTTCACAATACCATGCCTAGATTGTAGACAATTTTACAACCGTAGTCCCTCTAAGTGTTTTATTTCAACCTCTGTTAACAAAAAATTTATCGAAAATTGATACAAACTTATTCTGCAAAAATGGTCGAAAGCTAGACCTGACAATTTCTTACACGACCCGTTAACACGACACGAAAATAACAGGTTTCTGGCCAACATAATAACTAATCAGGTCATTATCGGGTCACGCGATAATAACCCGTTAATAATGGGTCCTTAACAGGTTTACACGAGAGTGACACGTGGGTAACCTGTTTCGACACGATAAGAAAAAAAAGTTATTTTGATGATTTTAATTTTTCAAACTACTAAAAAAAACTTACTATAAAATACAATAGATATAATGAATATGTATATATTGTTTATTAATTATTATTCTATATAAATTTAAAATTTAAAATTTATTTATTTTTATAGTATATTATAGGCAAAAATTGAGATTAAAAATCATAAAACACATTAAAAATAAAAATATCAAGTAAATTAAAAATACCAAACACATTAAAAAATTATAATAATTAATTTAAGTGTGCAAAAAATATGAAAAATATATGCAAACGCTCGTAATCTCATCCTCTACGCTTTGAGGATGGTTATATGATCGTTTGAATTTTTAAAACCATACAAACTCTCATGAATAGTATTTTTAAGGGAGTTCAAAATAAACAAAATTCATAATCA